TGTCTCTGTCTCTCTGGTGAGCACACGCGCCCTATAGCCAAAACCTCTCAAAACAAAACAAAAGAGAAAAGAAAGCGGAGGCTGGGCTCTGCTAAGCGGAGAGTGAAACCCGGGGGTTTGAGGCTCGGGGACCCCACATCAGACCTCCCGTTTGCTGGGACTCCGGAGCGCCTGGGCTGCAGGCTCGGGTCCTGGCCGCCACTTCCTTGGGGCCCCGCCCCGCCCGTCTGGGGTCCGGGCAGCCTGCCCCGCTGGCCCCGCTGGCCCCGCTGGCTCCTTTACCTGGCCTGGCCTCGCGCCAGCCAAGTGTTTCCTGCAGCGACGGTCTCTCGCCTGAGTTTTTCCACATCCCGGAAATATCGCTCCTTTGTCCCCGCAGACGGGTCTGCCCTGAGCCTGGCGCTGCCAGCCCCGTCACCTTGTGACTCATCCCCTCCCGTCCAGGGTCCCAGGGGACAGGCTGGGCGGAAATCCAGGCGGGAAGGGGGGCACGCTGGGCTCTTAGACTGTAATTTTTAGGCTATTTTTCCATCTACGGCCATTGGCTTGGTCTCCTAGAGTTTTTCTTTCTTTCTTTTATCCCCCCAAGAATTATTTTATTTAACTTTATTGATTCATTTACTTAGTTTAATTTAACCAGAGAAAGACAGAATGAGAAAGAGAAAGAAATCAAGCCGCCAGGTCCAGGACTCGAACTGCACTGCGAGCAGCCATGTGGGGGTCCAACGCCCTTAACCACCACGCCCCCTGCCGACTTTTCCCCTATAGTTTTTTCTTGTTTGTTTTTCTGGAGAGGTTTTCGCTATAGGGCGCGTGCAGTTGCCAGACAGACAGAGAGAGAGAGACAGAAAGAGAGAAATCACCCCCCAGGGGGGATGGTCACGTCGCAATCCCTTCTCCTCCATTCTCCTCTCGGGATCTTGGGCACGCATGAACACGCGCCCGGTGTGAGTTTAAGCCACCAAGTCCGGGACTCGAACCCTGGTCGGCTACGTGGGAGTCCAGCAAACATAGCCATTACGCTAACTGCTGGTTCCCTCCCCTATAGTTTTTACTTCTTGGGCATAAGGGGGGGTGGCCATCCCACAATCCCTTCTCCTCCATTCTCCTCTTGGGATCTTGGGCACGCACGCACACGCGCCCGGCGTGTGAGTTTTAAGCCACCGGGTCTGAGACTTAAACCCCAGTCAACTACATGGGAGTTCAGCGATATAGCCATTACGTCAACTGCTGGTCCCATTTTTCTCTCTCTCTCTCTTTAAATGTTTGCTATATGGTGGGTGCCCTTGCAAGAGAGAGAGAGAGAGAGACGAAGAGAGAGGGAAAGTGAGAAATCACCCCCCCAGGGAGTATGGCCACGCCGCAATCCCTTCTCCATTCTGCTCCTGAGCTTTTGGACATGCACACACACTCACCTGGTGTAAGTTTCAAGCTGCCGGATCTGGGACTTGAACCACAGCCAACCATATGGGAGTCCAGTGTCTTAACCAAGACGCCATCTGCTGGCCCTGGGTGGGATCTTTTCAAAGCAGAAATCACAACTCTGGAGTCTTGGAAGGGGTTCGCTTACATTTATTAAGTGCTACGAGGGTTTCAGGGGGCTATACCGGGGCTGGGAGTGGGGGTCGGGTCGGGTCGGGTCGGGATGGGATGGGCTGCCGTTTGCAAGGGCAGTCCCAGCAAGGGGGGCCTAGAAACTGTCAGAGGGGAAAGCAGTGGAAGTGAGGGGTGAAAGGCTTTCTGTTCTCACCTCCTGGGCCAGCATGGAGGAGGCGGGACTTGGGGCTGTGCAGGAAGGAGTGGAATATGGGGGTGTCTTGGCGACATGCACCCACCCAGGAGGGCAGGGACAGCCTAGCTGAGGGTTGGGCAGAGAGCGTAGGAGGGAAACTGAGAGCGCTGCGTGTGACGTCATTGCTACGTCCAGGGGAGGGGCTGTGGTGACGTCATTGCTACGCCAAGGAAAATGGCTATTGTGATGTCACTGCTAGGGGAATGACAGTGGGGAAGTCATTGCTACGGCTAGGGGAGGGGCTGTGGTGATGCCATTGCTACGGCTAGGGGAGGGGCTGCGATGACGTCATTCTTACGTCAAGGGGAATGGCTATGGTGATGTCATCGCTATGTCTCAGGGAATGGGTGTGTTGAAGTCATTGCTACAGCTAGGAGAGAGGCTGTGGGGATGCCATTGCTACAGCTAGGGGAGGGACTGTGGTGACGTCATTGTAGGTATAGGGGAATGGGTGTGATGACGTCATTGCTACGGCTAGGGGAGGGGCTGTGGTGACATCACTGCTATGTTTCTGGTGCGGGGCTGTGACAGAGTACAGGGGGTGCGTGTGCAGGTGGGTGGCATTGCCTGCGGGCCTGGGGCTTGGGGACAGCGGGAAGGGACTTTCGTGGCGCCGAGAGCATCTTCTTGCAGTGAGTCTGTTGAGGCGCAATTCGGGGCCACCACTCGGTCCTTGGGCTGGAGCGTCCTTAGCCACTAGGGACAGGAGGGGGACAGGAAGAGAATGCAGGGTCAGACAGACACACGGACACACCTTGCCCATCCTCGAGACTGGTCCTGGAAGAGGCAGCTGTCCTGAGAACCCCAGCCCGGCCTCCTCCCCACACCCGCAAGGACTCCAGGCTCCTCCAGGACCGGCCTTGCTGTTAAGAGTCCTGCTTTTGGGGACCAGCAGTTGGTGTAATGGCTATGTCGCTGGATTCCCATGTAGACGGCGGTTCGAGTCCTGGACCTGGTTGCTTAAACTCACGCCGGGCGCGTGTGCATGCGTACCCAAGATCCCAAGAGGAGAATGGAGGAGAGGGGATTGTGGCGTGGCCAGCCCCCCTGGGGGGTGATTTCTTGCTTTCTGTCTCTCTGTCTCTCTCTGTCTGGCGAGTGCACGTGCCCTATAGCGAAAACCTCTCAAAAAAAAAAAAAAGAGTCCTGCTTTTGGGGCCAGCTGGACCCCCCACATGGGCGACCACAGTTCAAGTCCTAGACCTGGGGGCTTACTTTCTCCCTCACTCGGTCCCTTCTGGTAAAATATAAATAAATACATATATACATACCTAAAGTTAAATAAAATAATTCTTTTTTTATTTTTTAAAGAGTCCTGCTTTCCCTCTCTCCTGGGAGGGTGAGACAGAGGCTGTTCCTCCCTCACACATAGACATAGAGACTGAGGTTCAGAGAGGCTTCCCTGTGAGCCCCAAGCCTCTGCTGCAACCTGCCCGACTCTCAGCTCCCCAGGTTCCAGGGAGACTGGGAATGTCCCCCAAAGCTGCCTCCGGAGAGAGGGGCTCCGTCTCCCTCTTTCCTTCCACACAGAATTGACCCAGTTCTGGTCCCTCCCTTGTTCCCAGGGGGATTTTTCTTCCCCTCCCCCCCTTTTAAAGAGAGATTTTTGCTATAGAGCAAGTGCGCTCACTAGAGAGACAGAGAGACAGAGAGTGAGAAATCACCCCCCCCAGGGGGGATGGCCACGCCGCAATCCCTTCTCCTCCATTCTCCTCTTGGGATCTTGGGCACGCACGCACACGCGCCCGGTGTGAGTTTAAGCCACCAGGTCCGGGACTCGAACTGTGGTCGACTACATGGGAGTTCGGTGACTTAAACATTTGCTGATCCCTCCTTTTTGTTTTTAATCTTTTGCTAGGGCTGGGCAAGTGGTATGGTGGTTAAGGTGCTGGACTCCCACACGGTTGACCACAGTTCAAGTCCCAGACCTGCTGGCTTGCTTTCTCACTTTCCCTCTCTCATTGTCTCACTCTTCTGCAAATTTAAATAAAAAAATAAAGTTAAATAAAGAAATTCCTTTTTAAAAAAAAATCATGTACAACGTGTGTGCATGCATGCCTAAAGCCCCAGGAGGAAAGTGGAGGAAGAGGGATTGCAGCATGGCCGTCCCTACTGGGGATGGCTTCTCTCTTACCCTCTCTCTGTCTCTTTCCGGCAAGCACACCTGCTCTATGGCAAAAAGCTTAATTTTGAATTGTTTTTCCTAGATATTCATGTGCTCACCAGAGAGAGACAGAGATAGAGGGAGAGGTAGAAAGCACCCCACAATGGAGTGTGGTCAGGTTGCAATCCCTTCTGCATTTCTCCATTCTGCTGGGGTTTGAGGCCCGTGTGCACACATGTCTGGCCTGTGTTTCAAACCTCCGGGGATGGGAGTCAAACCTTGCAATTGGCCATGAGGGATCTGGCTCCCTTTACCAGCAGGTCCCAGGGCCGGACTCCCAGGAGGAATCATTTAATGAGCCTGCCCTCCCTCCTATACCTTCTATGGCTCCCTAGTACCCAAGAAGGAAGACGTGAAATTCAAGGTGCCGCCCGTTCTGCCTCTGCCAGGTCTCTCCCCCAGCAGGGACACAAACTACCAGCCCTGACAATTCCAAGAGCCTTCACGCTGCTTCCGCCCACACCCCCAGCCCCCCATGGCCTTCGCACGAGCCTCAGGCCTCCGGCTGTCTGGAACGCCCTGCCCCCACCCTGGCCTGGCAAAGGTTCTCATGAGGGGTCAGGGGTTGGCGTGGAGGCTGTTTCCTGGTGGAAGGAGGGGGGGGGGCTGTAGCTAAGTCCCGTTTCCGTTGACCCCCTCCCTTCCTTCCCCTCTTCCCCATGGCCCCAGAGGCCTCACGTTCCTTGGCCGACTCTGAATCCCCTCTCTGGCTCTGGACTGGATCCTACAGCAAGATTTTTATGTTTGTTTGTTGGAGAGGTTTTTGCTACAGGGCACGTGCGCTCACCAGAAAGACAGAGAGAGACAGAGAGACAGAAAGCGAGAAATCACCCCCCAGGGGGTATGGTCACGCCACAATCCCTTCTCCTCCATTCTCCTCTCGGGATCTTGGGCACGCACACACATGCTTTAAACCACTGGGTCCAGGACTCGAACCGCACTTGGCTACATGGGAGTCCAGCGACATAGCCATTACGCCAAGTGCTGGTCCCAGTGGTCACCTGCATCTCGATCCCCAGCTCTAGCCCTTGTCCCCGACAGCGACCACCAGGAGCCCGTGAATGCCTGGTTCCAGTCACACCCCTGTTCTGTTTCTGGTGTCCCCCAAGTCGTCCCTGAAGCCACGAGCCCCTGCCTCAACTGCCCGTCACCCCCTTTCCTCTTTCACTCTGCTCCAGCCAGACCCGCTTCCCCACGTGAACTCCCCAGGCAGGATCCTGCCTCCGGGCCTTCACACAGGCTGTGCCCTCTGCCTGGTGCACCCTGCAGGCACCCCTGTAGCTCCTTCCTCAGCTCCTTCCAGTCTCTGGTCAGATGTTGCATCCTCCCTCAGCCAGCCCCTGGCCCCCGTGGAAAATTCCAGCCTCCTCACAGTCCCTCCTCCCTATTTTTTTATACTTTTTTATTTTTAATAATTTTTGAAATATTTATTTATTTCCATTTGTTATAGATAGTTTTTTTTAATCTGATGAGAGAGAGAGAGAGAGAAAGGGAAAGTGAGAAAGCAATCCACCAGGTCCGGGACTTGAACCATCGTTGGCCATGTGGGAATCCAGCG